TGACCAAGTGTGACACAGGTGGAGGCCAGGTCCCTGGCCAGCCTCCAAAGAGAAGAAACCCATCTCTGCATCCACTTCTTAGAGGTACCTGATATCTTTCCAGTCCTTCTCCTTCTCCAAACACTGGGCTGTCAGAGAAATTTCCTGTGGGGACGTTTGTCAGAGATAGCAGGATGGGGTGCATTGTTGAACTCAACTGCAGCATCATCCAGCTTGATTCAAGCTGTTGTCTGGGAAGACATAGAGCGGCAGGCGTAGGTGAGGGAGTCAGCACTACCCCTAAGGGTGTAACAAGGTGGTGTAACATGGTAGTTGCTTGGAGCCCGTGGCCTTGAGAAGCAGTCAGAGCCATTCAACATGTACCTGGGGAATAACAACTACTTCAGTTTCTGCTCTAGCCTCTCTGGAGTTGAGTATTGGCTCTCATCCATGACTTAAGTAGTTAGCTGTGAACTAAATGCTCAATGTATCATCTTGTGATGGTCTTGAACTGGAAGTCATGAGCACAGTGCCAAAACAAGGTCATTAAATTAGCTAGTCCCAGGCATGCAGACTGAAGGAGGCTGTGTTTCCCTGGCAGAAGACCTTCCCAGCGGACAGAGTGGGCAGAGGAGCGAGGGTCTTCCCCTGCATGGAGGGACTGTGGCTGTTCCCTCTGGTCACTGCAAGGAAGTACCAAAGGAGTGGTGGGTGCTTGTACACCTGCTAACCACATTTGATGCTTCTTTGGTACATGGGGTTACGCCATCTGGATGGTCTTCCTCCATGGTGTGCAAGTGGCTTCATGACCTGAATGTCACTCCTTGGATGTAGCATGGCTCCTTGCATGCTGCTGGGAGGATGAATGCAATGAGAGTGCAGGCAGGAGGAGAGGTGTGATGACATGGTGATGGCTGGTTCAGATGAAACCTGTTATTAATATTTTGCTATATTGGAGGGGTGGAGAAGAACAGGAACACCTGAGATTCTGGTAAAGTTCTCTAGCTAGGATGACTTGGTTCAGTTTGTGGGTGGTTTTGGGTCTCTAATTAGTCAAGTGCACAAGTACATCCAGAGGTGGATGATTGCAATGATCCCTTTTTGCCAGTTCTCACTCATCTGGCTGTGCCAGTGAGGCTTTGCTGGCTGACTGCTGGAGAGGGAACACAGAAAGTGTGCAAACGTGGCAGCATGAATTAACTAACTCTCTGCTTTCTGTCTTTGCATTTATTATATGAATGTTCTTGGCTATAGTTTTGCATGACATGTTTATCTTTGCTCATTATCTGACTGACTCCAGTCTGTCACAGCGTCCAGGGATGCAGTGGCGAGGTGGCGTGGATGGACTCAGAGGAAGGCTGTCCCTCCAAGCCCTCCCTCTGGAAGAAGGGCACAATTTAGCTTGGGGCTCGGTGGAAATAGAAGAGCTTCCAGTCCAGAAAGGAAGTATAAGACAGTAACCTAACGAGAGGTCTCCTTTCCATCCTGACTGATGTGCCCAGCGTTGATGGGTATTTTTCCTTCTCCTCTGCACCAGCCCCTCGTTGGATGCTGCTCCCCGTCCCTCTCCTGCCAGCTCCAGGTCAGCACCTAGGAGGGAAGGCTGAGCTCTGTTCCGAACAGTTTTGTTTTGCTTTGCTTTTTAAACACTAGTGTAATTTGATAGTGATGACATTTTGTGCTCAACTCATGAACAACTACTCCTGGGGACTGGCCAAATGCAGAGGGTGATGCGGTTCTGGTTCCAAATAACATGGATTCCGTCACCGCTCCCAGGGCAGTCTGGCAAGGAGGCTCTTCTGGGGTGGGTGCAATGAGGAAGCAGAGGTAGAGATGTATTTTTAGTGACTCTGACCTCTTACCTCCTGCAGTGTCGGTGCTGCCCTGCTAGCCCACCTGGCAGAAAAACGCATCCCCTGTCCACCTGCCAGCTGTCCTGTGCCCTTCGTCCAATTTTGAACTGCCAGCAAGCAGAGCACAGAGTCACGCTCCTCCCGACTTTCTGGCAGAGAAATGAAAGGTTGTGTCTAGTTTGGGTGAGGTTTTTCATGCACAAGGATCTGGGGGTTTGTATTTTTCAGGAAAACAGCAGCTTTAAATCGAATATAAAGTGTTTACAGACTTGACATGAATTGCTATCCCTAAAAAGGAAAAAAAAAACACATTAAAAGTCAGAATACTTCATTTTAGAATTTGACAAATGAAACAAATCCCAAATGATGTTTCATTGCTGTCTATTTTTTTCCCCTTCATAAAATAAAAATACTTGAAACATTTGGCTGACCCCCAAATTCTCCTCTCCTCTTTAAGAATCTTGCTACTGAGCTGAACCCCTCCTGAGCTTGTCTATACACAAGAGACCACGGGGTGGGGTGTGTGACGCCAGATGTCTCCAGAAAAGTGCTTTGGGCTCCCGGCTCCTGCTCTCCACATCCTCTGATATCAGGACCAAAATTCTGGGATGCCCATATCCAAGGACAGAAAGCAGCCGCCTCTCCTTTGTGATGTTAATGTAGGGAGGCTCAAGGTCTGACCTACTTTCCAGCCCCAAGGAAGTGCAGGATGGTTTTAACTCCTCTGTGCTCGGTTTTCCCAGTGTCAGCTCACTAAAATGTTTGGACACGTGCGTTTTCCTGCCAGCTGTCCCTGCTTACTGCCACCCAGCCTCCTTCTCTACTCCGTGCCGTGCTATGCTCATGTGTCTCCTGCTTAGAAGCAACAAGGGCTTATCTGAGCGATTGCCTCGTAGCCAGAACACCTTCCTCCATGCCGGGCAGAAGCCAAGCCCTCAGCTCTCTGCACCCTGCAAGCCCTCCCTCGCTTCGTTGGAGCATCACACGCCGCTTGGGTTCCACGTGTCACGCTGCAGCGGAGGAGCGTGTGTCTACAGACTCTCCTCTCCTTGTCTTCTCCCCGGAGCTTGGCTCAGGAATTACAGTCGGGAAAGTAGGTTGCAGGTGGTTTTGGGGAGAGGGAGGATTCTGTTCTCGTTCTGCCGTGTCTCCTCCCAGGACTCTGGAGTGTTTCTGCCGTGCAAAGCGGAGGAGAGAGTTTAGTGTTCGTGTCCAGGCTCTCTGTGTGCTGAAGGCTGGTTGCAAGTTTAGTGCTGGCTACAAAAGGCTCAGAAATGCACCTTTTTCATGTGAGACCAAGGAATTAATTTGGTGTTTGTGCCTCTGAAGCAGAACAACCCCTTGCTGTCGAGTATTGTTATTTCCTTAGTGCATTTTATTTTGCCCTCTGTTCCCTTCGTGCTACAGCTAGGGAGAGGTTTATCCTTCACCACAGCGAAGGCTGTTTTGATGGATGCATTCAGTTTTGGGACAAACATGTTTATTGGAGCAAGAGGATCAGCCTGAGTTGCTCTGAATAAGCTGATGTTAGGGAAAGGATTGGGATCCAATACGTAGGGTTGTGGATGTGCTCTGAAGGGAAGCCGTAGGCTTAGACACAGTATGTAGATATCCATTTGGATGCTTAGACTTGGTGCTGGTCATCCAAAGGAGAGGCAGAGAGCTGGCCAGCTGGGTCCTTTTGTGTGGGAGGGAGTAGGGACAGCTGGTGGGCAAGTCACCAAAGTGGAGTGATGGAGCCAACGGATGAACCTGGTAATGCCATAAATTAAACAGTGCAATTAGCGTGCCAGATCCACTTATCGGCTCCGAGCCGGTGTCGACTGCGTGTCTTTGGTAGTCAAGATAAAGCTCACACACCGTGAAATCGAACTGAGCGGAAAGGGGCATCCTTCCAACAGCTCCAGGCACCGCTGGCATGCAAATCTGTGCTGTGGCTGGGAG